TATCCTGCGAAAGTCCATATCGTTGGTTATTTGGTTGGAATCATTTATTTATTTATTCACAGGAAAACCAGGGCTACATTAGAGCAAATAGATACAGTTTAGGATCACAAACCAAGCAACTAATAGGTTTTCACAAGTAGCAACAATATAGATAAAAGGCGCTGTACACAAAGCAACAAAAATAGGAATTAACAAAAAAAAAAAAACAAACAAACAAACGAGTGGAATGAAAACAAAAAGAAAACAATGATTAATAAAATACAAAGTAAAAATTAAATGTAAATATTTGATTTAAATATGGCCATCCATATGTATCCATACAATAGTCATTCAAACTGACTATGAATCAAAAATTGCTTACTCAGTTGGTCTCTCACTGATACTTGTATTATATTTTTCGAAAATAGATCGATATTAAGAGTTCTAGAAAGAGTATAAAAGTTGTTGCTATTTTGTTTAATTCCGCTGCAATTAGTGTTTTGTTTAATTATTATTTTTTATGCAACTTAGAATGGCAAACAAGGTGATGGCCAACCTAATGGAAAGTGGTAACCGTCGCCATTGACGTAATATATACTGTTTAGTCCATGTTACTCTCATGCGTTGCCATTCCTGAGGACTCAGATATGATTCCTCTGTACCATGTAAATTTACTGCCATATCCCATCCTTCAAACCGAAACACAGCCATGCAAACACAACTGCTTCACGATAGAAATACGAATGGAACAGAGGTGCCCATGCAAACTACTTTTGTACAAAGTCTCCCTCTGGTAAGACTTTTGTATTAAATCTCCCACTGGTTTACCGTCAGTACTGGATTGATGAAACTGCGAATTCGTAGTTTTGGGCACCGAATGGTCGTAAAACGTCCAACAAAATGGCAGTCGAAGATTGATGGCTAATATTGAAGGTTGTGGAGCTTCTGATAGTAATGGTCAATCAACAAGTGTTGGCAGTCACATAGATTAATGGTAGCAGAATTTCGTTCGTGTCTGATATTAAATTGTTTTTGCGGGTAACACTTTTCCGTCTCAGCTTAAGTTATAGCTGTTTCCTGCGACTTCGTCTACATTCGAGTTCGGATTTTTTGCATGTTCGTTTAGATATTGCCGTGTAACACGTAATAGGTAATAATATATAAATCCTTTTTTTATGGGTGATAATGAAATAGTAACTCTACCCGCGCTATCGGTATACACCGACGGGGCACCTGTGAAGGATGATAGATGAGGATGAAGCAGGTCAGTTAGCCTATCGTGAAGAATTCAACAAGAATTGTATATGATGGTTTCCAGGGGGAACCACGTGGAGGTCGACCTGATACCATATTGCTAGCAATGTGGCTGTGAAACTCTATTACTAACAATCCCTTTCCCCCAAAAATTGTTTATTAAACTTGAACAAAAGATACAGCGATTAGTATAACAACTTGTTAGCAAGGGTGGGCTTATGTCTGAAAGAGATCTCTAATGTATCAGTCATGTTTATTACAAGCTTTGTAGCAAATGTCTGAAATAAACTTTGTAATAATTAAATTTCTTATAATATTACGACACGTCTCGTTTACTTTTTCAGGAGAACAGTATTTTCTAAAACGATAAAATACTTTATTACTGATTTTTAAAGTTTGCTTTACCTAAATAAAAATTGACAAATTTATATATCTCATTTTCTTAAGGGCAGAATTTTTGAAAATTATTAAAAAAAAGTTTTGTTTTTAATCAAAAGTCTGAAAATAAGCTTTCATACTTTTGACTACAAAAATAACAAAAATCCTATATACCTCCAAATTTACTCTTTTAGGGTTGGAATTTCCATAAACATTAAAACAATTTTTAACCGACATCGAAAAAGAGAAGGATCTATTTTCCAATGTATACTTTTTTATGTATGCCCATTGATTTCTCCGTCAATTGTAGACCGATTTTAAAAATTGTTTTTGTATTCGAAAGAGTATAATTCTGAGGTGATTTCATTGTCACTAAGTCAGGATCTGATGATGAGATTCTAGGAAAATTGGGAGCAACTCTTAAATTTTAAGACATATATATGGCGTTTCACATTTTCAAAACGTATATTTATTTCTAATCCGAAGGCTAAAACTAAAGTTTCGTACTTCTAGTTTCAATTATTATAGAACTCCGATATAAACTTTCATCTTTTATTATATCCATTTAAAAGGGAATTCTTCCAAAGTCAATAAACATATTAATTTTGTTTTGAATAAGAGCTCGTAAAATATCACATCTTTTACATCTAATAAAAATCTAAAGGCGAGCTTATCTCCAATAGAGATTTCTTCCAGCAAACCCAATATGAGAAAACTGACAGTTCATTAGTAGTTACAGTCATACATGTGTACCAATCGACTTAAATGTTATAGTTAAAAATAAATAAATAAAATGTCTTTACAATTGAAAAGATCGATAGGTATAAATAAATAAAAAAAAATTATATAAGTAAATACATATAAATAGTTAGATATATATTATATATAATACGCAAATATAATAAGTACGTATATCAGCATTGTGAAAGGTATTGATTTTTCAGACGTGATTTGAAAATCCCAATGCTTGGGCTATTTCTAATTTCATGAGGAAGCGTGTTCCATAATCTAATTGCAGCCACAACAAAAGAGTCTGAATACGCTTGACCAGAATGAATCGGAGTTCGCAATAAAGAACGATTAAGAGTCCTAGTATTTCTTTATATTGTATTTTATTTCTTGTATTTTCTAAATACTTTTCTAAATGTTCACATACGCTATAAAAAAGAATCTATTTGCAAACCTCGTGTCAAATACATGGTAGTGTGTGTAACTTTTTTTTATTGTTTTAATAAATTTTTTAGGCTTAATTAAAAAAAAATATTAACATTCTGCATTCCTTCTCTATACCTATATAAACTATAAGTGTGCGAAATTTTATACTCCTCCGTTCGCGCAATTCTTGTAAAAGGTTACAAAGTTTTTGCTTCACGTGTTAATATAGAGGTAACAGTACCTATATAATATTACTTTATTACAAGAAGCCATTAATGGCTCACTGCTGGGTACGTAATTATTAGGTAGCATGATCTTAACAGGATAATATTAGCCCATTACCATTTGTTATCTCACTGACTAAGGCTATTTGGTTGTCACAATTTTTCGAGTTTTCTTCCCTTGTATTGCTATATTGTGCTTTGTTCCCTCTTTCTATATTATAAGGATTAAAAAGACTAATGACAGAGTATATTTTTATTATGAGGTAAAAATCTATGAAACACTTAAAATAATTGCGAGTATTTAGAATGAATGAATAATTTGAATAATGGTAATAATTTTAATTTGATTTATTTTCACTTTACTAGACAAACACGTAATTTTTAGAACACATATGTAAATAATTAATACAACAATAACATTAATCAGTGCAGTTTCCACAAAAAATTGACACGTTAAACAAACGAGAGTAGAGACGATAAATATGGAAAAAACCTAACATAACAAAAAGAGAAACAATTTGCAAAATTTTAATAATTAAAAAAAATGATTTATTTAATTGTATTGTATCGAAAAATCTTTATTGATTTTGAGGATTAATTTTGAGGAATTTGCAAAAAGTTCCTGTTTTACATGTTTTTATGTAAGAAAAATAGATCTTTATTAAACGAACGATTGATCTGTAAATTGTGCATACTGTTTGGCCGCTGGCTTTGTCATTCATTAATTAAATTAAATTTTGTGGGGAATTGAATACAAAAGAATAAAATTATAATTAAAATGAAATGACGTATACATACATGTATTTTTTTTTTATAACAAAAGAGACATTACACAAAAATAAAAGAAAATATTTTACAATAGAAATAACACCTTAGTCCTCAGGAATGGCAACGCATGAAAGATATCATGAGAGATTCAGTATACTCTGTTATGTCCATGGTACTGTTCATGTCTATAGGCGACGGTTACCATTTTCCATCAGGTGGGCTATCAGCTTGTTTGTATAAAAAAATAAATAAAAAAAGTACGATGGGCTTTATTCGATAAATTGCCTTATTGTACTCATTGATAACTTATTGGAGCATTTAATGTTCCTGGCATTATGTTAGAGCGAGATTGTGATAAAATATTTATTGTAAGATCGTATCTACGATATGTGTTAGTAAATGTGTCAAGGCTTTTCCCTATTATTTCCTTGAGTCTTTTATCAGGTAACCAATAAAATCGTTCAGCATTACGAAAGAAATATATAGAGCGTGTACAAGGAGAGATGTTTCTCGCAAAGAAGGAACGATTCCAATGCAGTTTCTTATTTGAAATATGATAGCATATAACAAAGAGAATTTATTACTTGTATCAGTGAAATACAATAAAATATGGAAAAAGAAAAATATTATTATTAATTAAAGGTAAAAAATGAAACAAATAAAGTAAAAACAATGCCCTGTGGTCCCGGCATAGAAAGGGCCACCCCTTCCTTTTCCGTGGGCATCGTAAGAGGCGATTAAGGAGTCTTAATGGATGAAAGATGGGCAGCAGCGTCCCTCTTAAAACATCACTGAAGCCGTTGCCAACTCGCCTGCCAAGCATGGCAACAATAAGCAACAAAAGACAACGAATCGATGAATACGAAGTCTGGCCTGTGGTAGTTAATTCGTTGGGAATTAAAGACGACGGTTTCCAGGAGGAACCGTGTGGAGTTAGCCCTAATAGGGGATTCAGTTCTATTGCTAGTAATATACCCTATCAGGTCGACCTCCACGCGTTTCGCCCTGGCATCGTGATGAATTCGTTACGAAAAACAAACTGACCTACTTTGATCCTCACCTATCGTTTCTCACTGGTGCCCCGCCAGTGTGTACCGATAGCGTAGGCGGGGTTACCGTTTCATTCTCATCCATTGAAAAAAAAAATTAGAAAATAGCGTATTAATAACGACAAAAGGGAAGTCCTTGTATATCTTGTTTATTTTTCTATTTTCTAATTTTACTTAATTCTTATTTCGACAGTGTACGTCTTCCTGGGCGAGCACATAGCACTGGTGGACTTCGTGAACTTGCTCCAGCGGAGGGGACTCCTCCAGAACGGGGAGTATGCTGTGGTGGCGGTAGATGATGAGATTTACGATCCGAGCACTGCAGCCATCACACATGCTGGTGAGTGCACCAGGTTCTATTTGGCGACATTGCTGATGTAGTGATTTAACATAACTTCCAGCGGTCACGGGTTCGATTCTCAAACAATACAAACATTTATATTAATAAGTATGTCTATTTGTATTGGTCTAGATATTTTCTGTATATCTTTACTGATGTTATAAGTGTAACAGTGAGTTTGTTTGTTTGTTACCTTATAATTATATGAGATGAAGATAACATATCCCAGTCATGTGAAAGAAGTCGCAGGTAAAAGCTAGTATATGTATATTTACAAAAAAAAATTAAGTACTAGAACCCATAGTGCAAATTCTGCTTAATTTGAGACTAGATGACGATGTGTAACAAGCCCAGAGGGGGGGGGGAGTTTGTTAATAACGCAGAATACCAGTCGCATTGCTAGCAATATACCTAACCAGGTCGACCTTCATGTGGTCTCCCTTGGAAACCATCGTGTTGAATGCCTCACGATGGGCTAACTTGACGGGCTGATCTGCCTTTTCATTCTCACCTATTATCCCTCACTGGTGCTTCTCCAGCGTATACTGATAGCGCAGGTGGGGTTATCATTCCATTATCATCTATTAAATAAATAAAACATGGCTAAGAGTTTAAATTGTTATTACCTCCCATTTCGAAATTATTTAGTTTTGTTAGGAATCATGAGTGTACGGAATCCGCGAGCCTATACGAAAAAAGAGTTGTATCTAATTGGCCTTTGACACTCAGTTCTCTCTGCCTACCTCTCAAGGGACTCGGTGTGAAGACATTTGTTTCTTTACATAAGGAAGGAAACTTCTACTAATTCACTTATTAGCTACGTGGGCTGGCAGGAGTTTGGCAAAATCTCACCAAATTAAATTTATAAAGAAAAGGCGAGAGAGGGAGTGCCCAAAATCTTAACTTTCTTAACAATCTATTAACGTCCAACGGTGGGACTTTAATAGGTTAGTTAGTCTATAAAAGCTTGTCGGTAAACTGTCTTTAATCATTCTAAGTTATTAAATAATATTGCATTCAAATAAAATATGTAATTTTACGTTCTTTTTCTTTCTATAAATCGTATAACATATTTTGTATTGTTGTATCCAGGGACACCTTAAATATAAAAAAACTACATTCATTTAAAACTAATTATACTTCAAAATTGAAAAGTAATAAGAATTTATTTTATTTATATTCCCGCCAAATCAGCTTCGAGCCTATATTATGTAGATGAATATCCTACTTTCTATTTCATTACAACATTCGGGTTTCAACCGTGAAGCAGTTGTGTTTGCATGGCTGTGTTTCGGTTTGAAGGGTGGGATATGACAGTGAATTTATTGGATACGGAGGAATAACACCTGAGTCCTCAGGAATGGCAACGCATGGTGGGTATTATGGGCGAAACAGTATACTCTGTTATGTCCATGGTACTGCACATGTCTATAAGCGACGCCTACCACTTTCCATCAGGTGGGCCGTCAGATTGTTTGCCATTCTAAGTTGTATAAAAAAATATATATATGATATTATGTTTTTCTCTTTCATATTGTCAATCTATAAATTTTATAATCTAAGGTTTGAGTATGAATTATCTTCGATATGTATTATTCTACTATAATAACTAAATTGACAAATAGATAAGCTAATGGAAGTCCTCGTTAGTTGTTAACCAACAATAATATTACAACATTTCGTAGGTAATTTAATACTTGGTATTATGTAATTTGTACAACTGCAAAGAATACTTAATAAGGATGACATATCTTTTAAGTGAAAAAAGAAATAATATATGTACATAATTTTGTCTCTTTTAATCCTCGATATCATGTGAGTTTTACTACTCAATAACGCGTGATGTCTTAAGCTCTATCAATATTACTACGGGCGTTGGGCGAATGGGTGTAACAAATACAATCCTTACTTATTTATTCAAGTTAATTTATTTCCTATATTTTATAACGTGTTAAATTTAATTAATCGAAATTGTGTATGTATATATGTATAATGAGAAATTAAATATATCTATTGTCAGAAACGACAAACACGAGTAAGTTCATAAATTTTCTCGTTTTATATATTTATTTATTTTACATAAACACCGTTAAAATGAGCATAAATTTTAAAAACAAAAAAGAATGTAATGGAAATTAAATATTACTACAATATGAAAATTATATTCGAATAATTGTCGAGTGATAAAAAATCGAAATTAATTTCGACATACACGTTTGTCTTCAAGAAACATATGAATCACTTTTTTATTCAAGTCCATTCTCCCGCTTTCGCATATAAAACTCCGTAATCAACTAGCAGTATAAAAAAGCTATGAACAAAAATTAAATGCTGTTCTTTGGTAAGCGTATCATTTGAAATTGAAATTGAAATCATTTATTTGCTGGAATAAGGTACATTTTTATAGGTGTTACTTTACAAGAAAAATAGGCCAATCTTATTCTGCCACACTGTAGGCGTGCAAATATAAAAACTTATTAAACAAAAAATAAAAATAATTCCATCATAATAACATATACATTTGCAATAATATTTTGTCACTTTTTGTATCTATTCATGTCAATTCATTGTAATATAAATTCATTAAAAATATACACAACACAAAGTGAACACATATCCTAAATGAAATTAAATTAAATTTATTTGCTAGAAACATTGTAGAAAAGGTGTTGCTATCATCATTTATAATTATTTTATCATTTAAAAACTCATTTACTGAGTAATAACATTTATCCATAAATAGCTTGAAGAGCATTTTTTTTGTAATAGGATAAATTATTACAATACCTGATACTTTCAGGCAAATGATTATATATCTGTATTGCCATGCAGTAAGCGTTAGTACTCAATACATTTAGTCGTGTAGATAACTTTGGTTATTTATTTATTTATTTATTTTTTATTATTATTTTTGGTTATTCTAATATGTTGAAGTTAAGAATATATTATAGTTAAAGTATATTTTGCTCTTACCTTCCGCAACGGGCATCTATGTATTTATGCAAACACGCGAACGAACAATAGAATTAATTCATAATGCATTCGTTACGTTCGTCCAATCTCCACCCGTCGTAATATGGATAGCTCCTTATCTTTATATCATACACCTATCCCCCGATTTACACGGTAGATACGTTCCTGAGAAAAACGTGTAAATCGAAAATTAAAAATTTTGAAGTCAAAACCGTGTAAATCGAAAAGCTTGCAGAAAATGCATAATTTTGCTATTTAACAGTTGTGATTTTTTTCAATATTTTTAGGTATACACAGAAATAAAAATAAAATGCATTGACAGGTTAAAATATGTAATATATTACGGAAACACTGTTTTTTTATTTAATTACAATACATTAAACAGAAGAACAAAAAATAAAACAAAAGGTGTTTTATTATCCTTCATCACTATCAGAAATTACTCTCATTCTTTTTTTCGGAATCGAAGGTTGGAATTCACTTTCATCACTCGAAGTTATTTGTGCTGATTCGATGTTTGAAGCAGAAATATTTACATTCTGAGAGGTGGTAATAAAATCGGTTATTAACAATCGCTTCGAATTTTTTGTAAGATCTTTGTGAAAATACTCGTGGTATTGCCAGCTGCAACACTCTTTCTAATTGTGTTTTCATTTGTTCTAATAGTTCTTATTGTAGCTTCGTTCATGTTATATGATTTTGCAACATCTACTACTCTATCTCCCTTTCGTAAGCGATCCAAAATTTCGATTTTAGTTTCTAAAGAAATAACTTTTCTTTTAACTTCTTTCGACATTATAAGCCTATATTTTTTTTTTAATTTATGTTAATTTATAAAAATCTTAATTATGCACTCACTTGTAATTTACGAATATGAAAAATTAAATCTTTCTGACACTGTGAAACTTTCACTCAAATACAATTTTCCGTAGATAAAACTTTAATTTTATGCGAAGAAATACAGACACAGTGTGCATGTGCAGCAAGTCAGCACATAAGTTCGGGATTCCCCGTGAAATGTGTACACAGCGCACGTGTTCAAAGACAGTAGCATTTAGTAGAGTGCGATAAAAACAAAAAAAAAAAAAACTTATTTGGAAAACCGTGTAAAAGCGAAAACGTGTAAAACAAGTACCGTGTAAATCGGGGGATAGGTGTATTAGAGACTCCAGTCGCCCTTTGCACTTCGCGATATCTTATTCACTTGTAAGTAGAGCTAGACGCCATTTGTCTCGTAGTTAACGAGGTATTCTGTTCTACATCAACATACGTGCCACTAATTGGATGTCATAATAGGCGTTGCAGAAATACAGCATATATACTAGGAATACCCTTATACTGTGACACTGTTCTGTAAGATGTTGACATATTCAGAATACACAAGCTGTGCACTAACAAGAATTTTGTTATAGCAGTAGCGACACTGTGTGCAACCAGAGTTGATTGAAAACTGTAAGCTGTGCGCTGTAATGTTTTCATAGAAGATTGCATCTTACAGAAATAAACATGTATCAAATATACATAATCTATATATATACTCGTATATATATTTATATATATACACGCCGATATAGGGCAGATTATAGACTAATATTTTTTAGTTTGTTACTTTGTTAGTCTTTCTTCTTCTTCCTCAAAAAAAAAAGGGTAAAGAGGTTTCTTCAGAGCAACGCGCAGTATTGTAGGCGTTCATGGGCTACTATATAACTGCAGACTGTCAGGTTGGTTCCTCAGTGGTATAAAAACAACTTTTATTCAGTAAATTAAATAATATGATTTATTAATTATTTAGTTTTTAATTAATTAGTTTGATTAATTGATTCACAGATTGATCAATCGATTAATCGATTGTTTGATTACTCGATTGCGTGTTTGCTTGATTGATTGATTAATTAATTGTTTGATTGATTGATATCATCTCTCTCACCAAGTTGGCCGGATAGCAAAAATAACTGATTGAAGAAAATTTATCTATTTCTCTTTCTAATAAATACAATATGTAATGTCAATAATTACACCTGCTAGAA